GTGCTCTGGGATGACCCTACTGGAACAGGAAGGTTGGCCCTGATGAGCTGCTCTGGTCCCTTCTGACCTTATCCATGCTGGGATTTTGCAACAGCACTGTCCATGCTGACCAGCTCCCAGGAAAACACCCCTGGAGAGATCTGCCACCACTCTAGAAGCACTTTCACCAGCACTCAAAGCTTCACCTTAATTGCTCAGATCACAAGAGACAGCCTCAGGATGAAGCTTGCAGGGGTCTGCCTGACCTCCACACCAGGAAGGGTAATGCTGGCACTGACCATGCTCTGGGAGCTGCAGATGGTGGGCAGGAAGGAGGGAAGCTGCTCTGCCTTGTAGGTAGCCTGGAGTTGCAGGCTGTGAACAGAAGGGCTGTTACARGACCCCACTGGTCCCCAGAAAAGGGGAGACAAGACAAATCTTTCARCTGGGAAAGGTGTCTTTCACATGCTGGAGAAACAGCCTGTGGTGAGTAGTGTGATTTCAAACCAAGTTTCTCTCTGTTGTCCAAAGGATTAAAAGTGCCCAAGGGTGCATGTGTGATGGTGGCTTCAGCTCAAGGAACATTTCCCTGGGTGTGAAGTCCTGCCCCACAACTCCCCAAGCTAAGTTCATGGCAAGGGGCTTCCTCACAACTCACCTCCACTTCAAATCTCATGACATAACAGCTTTTCACTCTACAAGGGGCAGATGCCAAACTATTAATTTTTGGACCACCACAAGAAGGCTGAGTTGGTTTCAGAAGTGACAAGCAGACCCTCTGCAGCYGGGGCTTTTCCCTCCCACACATGTTCTCTGGCACTCCCCATGGCTTCACCTCCCACCACGGGTTTGGACGGGAAACCACCTCGTGTCTGGGCAGCCAGCTACACCAACTACTGTGGGGACTGTAAGGGTGGCTGGGCCATATCTGTGGGCCTCAGCTCCAGCTGTGGAAAGKAAGGATGTATCTGATCCCTTTTCCAAAAGCAACAGGTCCTTATGGTCACCTGCATGTGCAAGTCAGGGATTCTCCCACCAGAAAATGGTCTGGTCCTGCTGGTCAGGCTGGAGCTGGCTGCAAACTGCACTTGGAGGCCGGAACTCAGAGCCAAAACCTTCATAAAAAGACAATAAATGCTGTACCAGGTTTTAAAGAGAAGGCTGGTCACCCTGATACAGCAGCACCAAGTGCTCCTGCCACAGAACCTTGAGCCTTGTACCTCACATAGACAATACTGATACAACACTCAGAGGTACAACTTTGTAGGAGCAGGAGACAAGTGAATGAGCTCCAAAGACCAACAGCTCTCCTCTAAGCAACGTGCAAAAGCCTGAAGATGAAGGTTCAGCCTCAGCTGAAAATCACCACCAAAACTTGCTGGGGCATTCCCAGGGTGCAACTGGGAAGGAGGGACATGATGTGCATGATGGCATATGAGGAAGCAGGAGGARCCCCTGGCTCTGGGCCCCCAGCAGCACTTTTGAGGTGGGAGTTTTCCCTACACAAAGTGCAGTAAAGATTCTCCAGCMTGTCCTAAGTATGAACACTGGGCAGAAAGGAACGTCCAGTGTTCTCCTGGTCCCAGGAAGCCACAGAGCCGAGAAGGAGATGCAGACATCCTTTCTGACACCAGGCTTCTGAGTAAAATCACTTAGGTTCTGAGTTTTGCACTTTCTATAGCCTTCCAGGTTTCACTTACAAAGAGCTGTCTAAAACCAAGGTGAGAACAGCAAACTCAAAACATAAAACTCAAGGAAAACATACTCCTTCCAGCATGGATTAGGCCAGCTTATCTCCACACCTGACTGTTACTCAGTCTCAGGAGCTGAGCTCATCTGAGCCTCACAAAACTTAGTTTAAATACTGACGTCAGGTGTAAGTTTAAAACTTAGTTCTCCTTCCTAAATTTGGTCAATTTAATTTCCTTATGTCTCAGTCAATTCTATTTCTTCCCAGCTGAAGAGGGCTCAGTTAAATCCCCTGTCTGGGGTAACCAAGGGGAATGCCAAAAGTGACCATGKGTGTACCCCTCCACAGCCCCCTCCTCCCATCCCAGTCCCAGGAGGAGGGCACAGGAAGGGAACTGGGGGGATAAAAGGCACAAATGAAATGTGTATGAGAACTGACAAYGATATGCTGATAAACAGAAGAGGGACGTGGGCAGGTGGAGGTACTGTAAGGCAGGAGGAAAAACACACCAGAGCTGAGGACTCCTTTTGCCTGGATACCAGCAGGCACATCTTTGGGGTCTTTCCTTTTGCTTTAATGAGATGGGTTTAGTTTTTGCAGCCCTCCTCAGACTTTGCTCCTGAATCTAAAGGCTCATGCCCACAGCCTGCTTTTCCATATTTACATTGAGACAGACTCATCAGAAACCTTATACAGGAGACAAGGTCACYAATAAAAGGAAAAACCCTTCAGCGCCACCACAAACTGCTTTATCCAAATGCTACTAAATATTTACAAAGTCTGAAAAATGCACGTCTAGACTCAGACATTATTTCATATGGTTCACACAGCTTGAAGCAGAAGCACAAGTCATATCCAAGCAAATTGGACTCAGTTTGTGTATCCCTTTGAGTGTCAACGTTTAGTCTGCCTGAACAGAAAGCAAAACTGAAATCAGTCTTCATAATTTTTTGAGGCTTAAGGTTTCCAGCTGCAGAACATTTTTCCCCTGTGCGTGTCCTGATAAGATTAGCAAACCAGAAGTGACAGTATCTCTTAATTTGCAAGGGGAGAGCAGCCTCTCTCAGCATAACCCATGATTTTTAAATTAGCAAACAATGAATTCACTCTGAGGGACTTTCCATGTCCTGTCAGAAATAGCTCTGAGGGACTTTCCAAAGTGGGAGTGCTGAGTTACTGCAGGATGTTACCCACAGTGCAGCTACAAATGCAACTCTTTTGCAGCAGGCAGCTCTGCACTGKGGCCCTGAAGGCTGGGTTTAACATTAGCCCAAGGTACACCAAGAGGCTCTGGGCTAATGCAGCCATTGAACACCGCCTTTCCCAGCCCTCCTCAGCCACATGGCTCTGACAGCACGGGGACAGCCAGTCCTGATGAAATGTCACAGCTCTTTGGGAAGCAGCTGGGAGGAGATAACACAAGCCAGACCTTGCCTCCTCCCACCAGTTCCTGGGAAAGAACTAGCTTTTCCTGAGAGGGAACAAAATAACCTCCTCCCTTCGGCTGAATGCCACCGGGCAGGCAGGAGAGGAACTCAGCCCCTGAGAGGAAGCAGCCAGCACTGCTCCAAGCCTTTACTACCCCTGTACCACCCAGGACTCCCCAAGACACAAAAACAGGGAGACAGGAGACTCACAAACCCCTGGAAGGGAAGATGTGTGCCATAGACCCACAGCCCACACGCTTCAGGGCCACACCTCTAYCAAGCATTCTTTGTCCCAGCAAATGCCAAACTGGGGCTTGGGAAGATCAGATGGAGAGTGAAAASAAGGCACAGTCTCATCCATTCAGCAGCTCTTCATCAGCTGTGCATAAGGCTCTGGGGCACCAWAAGCTCCTGCAGCCCTGCAAGGAATCAGCCTGACCCCAGGACAGCTCACTGTCCTTCTGAACTGCCAGTGGGAGCTCTGGCCAAACTCAAGCATTCAAACACTTGTGAGAATGGATAGGGAGGACCTTTGGCAGCTGAAGATTTTTGCTGAGCTCTGCAAGAACACATTAAGACTTATTTTAAAACCAGGAGAAAAAGTTCAGCACAACTCACCAGCCACAGCATAATCAGCATTGAAGTTGTCGACAGATATAATTTGGTTTACTCTAATGAAGATGAGCTCACTACAATCACTGCAGAGGACAATGGAATTCTGGGCACCAGCAGAAATTGCAGCATGGAGCAAACGATCTGCAGGCACCACATACAGCCTGAACCTGAAATGTCAGTACCAGAATATCCTGTTCCCTGATTCTCTGTGGTGTTAAGCTTTTCACCTAACATTTCTTCAGTCCCACATCCCCACCATGATCCTCTCACAGATCTATAAATGCAGGTTCACGACATCAGGACCATTTAGCACTGACATCCTCATCTTGGACKGAACTTTGAGCACACAGAAGAAGGCTCAGACAGCAGGATAAGGAAGCAGAGATGCAGAAAYRTCTCTCTACTAACAGGCTCAACAGCCTGCATCAGGCAGAATGCTCAGGCCTGATGCACAGCTSTTGCTTCTTCCTTCCACTTTGCAATAGCATCACTGAGGGAATGCCAATGTCATCTCRGACAGAACAAGGTTAGACCTGTTCCTGACACACATCTCMGTCACTACCAAACCTCTTGAACCAGAGGCTATGCTCTTTATCTGGAGCAAGTGTTAGAGGGAAACAAAATGTATTCCTCTTATCTCAGACCCCCCATGTGGCAGTGCTGCAATTCCAAGAGGGATGACAAAATTGTTCTTCAGGAGCAACAAAGCATCACGTACATTCACATGCTATGGACCAACCACCCATAAAACCTGGATTAAAAAGCTGGTGGGCTCCTCAAGGAGAGGTGGAAAAACCATCCTGTCCAGCAGCTTGTGACCCAGAACAGCTTGGGGTAACAGGTGACCAGCCAGTACCCAACACGCAATCCCACTGCCCTGGTAGCTCTGGAGCCAGCTGAAATGGGATTACTCACTTTCCCTGAGCTGATGGAGGCTGCAAGAATTTTGTGTTCACATAATGCAGAGAAATTCACAACCATACAATGGTGCAGCAGTTTCTTGACAGTCTTGTATAGCAGAAAAGAGCTGGAGACAGAGCAGGTGGTTCTCACCATGGCAGGAATTGCTCACAAGCAAATCCCAAGCAAACCTGAAATTATCTCAGTCCAGCCTGTGCTCTCAGCAGCGCACACAAACCCTCCCTCAGGGAATSTCTCCAGCTGACACTGAAGTCCAGGGATTTGTCAACTCTTCCCCACTGTCAGTGGGCACAAAATACCCCCTGAGCCTTCCCCAAASACAGAGGAAAGAAGGATGCAGACTTGTCAAGCCTTGCTTTGGCCTGTACCTCGTATTCTTTGATGGTTCCCTTCCAGGTGCAGCCACTGTTGATGCAGACAGCAGGCAGACTCTCCACCTCTCGCCGGGCTGCGTTGTCTGGGAAAGCCTGAAATGGAAAAAACAAGCAAACCACAAATATTACTGAGTGGTTGCAGTTTTGATCAGGACTTTTAATTCCTTCTGAAGACTCCTCCCAGAGCAGCTGTCCCATCAACCCTCAGAGGTGTGTTAATAGCAACCAAATCGCTGTGACAGCTTTAAGTAGGACACCACTACACACACGTGACCTGGATTTCAGCCCTGGGAGTTCAACACAGTAATCGCCACTCTGACTATTGAAGAAAAGGTTTCCTAGGAATAAGGGGTTSTCAGAACTTGTGCTCTAAACAAAAACTGCAACTGGTATTACTGACACCAGTGATCTGTTACATTTTTTTAAGTGCATTTTTGCTTACCGAGCTTGTTTCCAAAATAGAAATTCCTTCTTCATATATTCCTTCCTGGATACAGCTGGCACACTTTTGAGGTCCAGCACTATCATACAGAAAAACAGTCATCAAATACAAAAAAAAAAAAATCATTTATGATTTAACAATAAAGTGATTTCTGGTAACTTTATGAAATGGAAGTGTTTTCTTATTTTTAAAACAACACATGGAAACCTTGCTTGTGTTTATTTTTGATTCCTATTCTAATTTCATTTCTTCTTCCAATTAACCATTCTATTAAGTTTCCCTCATGCTTAATAGATGAATGCAGGAGTGGGACAGAACACAAGAAGATTTCTCTGGAAGCCAGCTTGTGCTTAAATCTTTCCCATTTTGAGACAACAACCAAATTATGACTTTTAGGGGCATTCAGTAGCTGTGATGAAGGAGACGGGTGATAGACCTGGACTGCCTCTTCAATGGCAAAAACAATGCAGGGGATTCTGGAAAAGAGAACTTGGAAGCAACAACAAAGGCAAGTCAGTGATTACACATTCCCTTAGACAAGAGGTGATGCTGAACCTGTGTTCAATGATTGAACACAGCTCCCTTACTAAGAAGGTCATGAAAAWGAGACTTTTATCTCCATTTGTCCTTGAAAATGCCTTTTCAAGCATTTTGTCTTCACTCTGAAGGCACAGCAGTTACCTGATGATTTTCTTCAGGCAGTAGGAGCAGTAGCGATGGCCACACTGCGCCTGGAACGGTCGCCTCAGAATGTTCTTGCAATCAGAGCAGAGGTATTTGACCTCCAGTTTAGTTCCCAGGATCTCCTTTGCAAATCCAGGCTGGTTTAGATCCAAAGAACCAGGTGGAGAAGAGTTTGCTGCTGCCATGTGAACGAAAAGTTCTGGCTGTATCTCCAGAGACTGAAAAGAAAAGTATTTTCCCCATTATATATAAACACCATTTGTAATTGCATAGAGGTGATTTTTCATACAAACGGTGCTACAATACAAGTAAACACACTGATGAAAATCACACCAGAAGCCTGCCTTTACCTCAGAAATATAGGAGGAAACTTGAATTTTAGAACTAAGTCCAGAACACAGAGATAGGRTGAACAGACCTAATAAAGCTCCCTGTCCGAGTTGACTGAAATACAGCCTGTTTAAAGATATCAACACCTCTTGCTCCAAACAAGGGAAAAAACTTAGAGGTGATGAGAAATAAATATAATAAACTGTCTCAGTTCACCAAAAACCTGTTGGCTACCACATTCCACAAATGCTTGCTCTCACACCTGCTAGCTCTCAGGAGGGACCAAAATTCTGCCCAGAGGCAGCCAGTCCCAGAGGTTCCTGGGGGAAAGCTGGGCACACAGTGTAGCCCAGATTTTGTGGTGATGTCCAAGCAGGCACAGAGGGGTCTCCAGAGGGATGGAAAATGAGGATGTAAGAGGTATGAGCAAATTTGAAAGGAGAAGAGAATAAAATGCTTTTGTTTTGACTGCTTATGCATCTCACATCTTCACTCCCTGTAACTACATCCCACAGCCACCYGGAACACCTAAGGCAGCACATCCACGGAGTCCCACATGGTTTGGGTTGAAGGGACATTAAAGCCCATCTCATTCCAACATCCTGCCATGGACAGGGACACTTTCCACTATCCCAGGCTGCTCCAAGCCCCGTCCAWCCTGGCCTTGGACACTGCCAGGGATCCAAGGACAGCCACAGCTTCTCTGGGCACCCTGTGCCAGAGCCTCACCACACTCACAGGGGACAATTTCTTCTCACTATCCCGTCTAGCCCTATCCTCCGGTGGGAAGCCGTTCTCTCTTGTCCTCTCATTCCATGTCCTTGACCAAAGTCCCTCTCCAGCTCTCTTGGAGCCCATTGAAGCACTGGAAGGGGCTCTAACATCTCCCCGGAGCCTTCTCTTCTCCAGGTGAACACCCCCAGCCTGTCTCCGGGGGGAATCCCCGTGTGCGGAGACACCGCGAACCGGAGAAGAGCCCGAGGCTCCCCCGCTGTCCCCGAGTGGCCCGGGCTGCCCGCGGCAGGAGGGCTGTGTGCCGGGCCGGGCTCCCGGCGGAGCGAGGCCCAGCCCCGCTGCTCCCGGAGCGCCCCGCACTCACCGGCCCTCGCTCCGCGCCCGCACCGGAAGCGCCGC